ATTTGCACACTAAAATATGGAGTCCTCTAGGCAAGATATGAGTTGGAATTTTAGGTTGAACAGATGATCATGAATTTGAAATCAAATCATATCCCTCCATAACTTCAACAAACACTGTAAAGTGGCTCATCGGGAAGTTAAATAACCTAGCTGTATAGTGTGTCTTGAAATTCAGAACAAATATAAGACAGAGATCAACATTTATCGTTTAATACATTGGGAACAACATAGAGAATGTATATTACCAACATTTCCATCTACAAAAGCTTTAACGCTACTCAGTTGAGTTAAAGTGTACCAAAACCAAGGCTCGTAAAAAAATCTGCTTCTTCTTTTAGTGAAAAATCATTCCTCATTTACCAATTTTAACTCAAATTACTTGGACAGTTCCAGCAAAGTCCACTTAACTTGGATTAACTTTTTTTAAGTCAAGCATAAAATGAAACAGTAACCAGCCTACTTCTCTATTAATAGAAACTATTGTTGCTACAATAACTTTCTGAAACCCTTTATATTTGTTTTACTTTGTAATGTAAAGAGTGTCAGTTTGAAGTAGTTAACGTTTCCTTGATTTTTTTCACTGCTCGTGCAGCTGAGTAGTGTAGTGTTTTCTTTAACCCGTAGATTTTTGACGTAACGGAATGTAAGTTTGTATCTACGTTTCTTTTAAATGTTCCAGTTACAACCAGCCATGCAAATGTGGTAACATTTCCCTTTATACCTAATCTCCTTAATTTTGCGGGACATTTTGTCGTTTTTTGGGGAAGCCACCATAAAAAGCTTTGATAACATTGCGCAAACGCCCAAAAAATACACAGATCTGGGGAAATTCCCCAGAATTTCGGGGATATACGTGACGTTTGTCTAAAAAATACAGGTAAACATAGAGCTGTCAACGACTTTTCACAACACCCAGCGCTATTGGCCCTAGTTTTTCTTTACTAATAATCTTTCCGACCATGGATTACAAAACGAATTGTTTCTTCCTTGCATCTTATTTTTAATATCCTTTGCTGGAGAATTATTCTAGAGCTTGCCGATTTCAGATGAGAAAAATTAGGCGTGTCAGTTTCGGTAATCCTTGGTAGTTTAATTCCGAGGTATTTTAGGGCATTTTTCTTAGACGTCAGGAGATAAATAGTTGTCTTAACTTTTCAACAGGATTCATGCCTATCTTTACGCAGACCAGTTTCTGAAACTTATTAGGCGTTTTTCAACTTTTTTCAGCGATTGTGAACTTTATTGAATCTCACAAGTGTAATTCAAATATTCCGGTAATTTCGCTACATATTCTCTTCAACTTACTTCCAATTAATAATTTCACTTTATTCGTCTCTTGTATGCGAGGCAGACGTTCTCAATATCTGAGTAAATTCAACCTCATGATGGCTGAGTTACAAACTTTGAAGGAGTTTGCGTTTATTTCTCTTTTCTTTGATTCATTACAATGTCAGACTATTCTGTCAGTATAATTTTGGATTTCCTATTTAAATAATCCTAGGCTGCACTTTTAACATACATGTAATAAAAAATGACCATACATTTAATCTTTCTGGTATGTTAAACAGAAATAATAAAGTACGTAGGAAGCTTTTTCCTGCCTCAATGACCTAAATATTGTCCATGTGCGCGACATCGGGGAGCAAAGTGGTCATATGCATTGGGTACTTCAAAAGCACCGGACATCTCAGTCACCGTGTAATGGTTGCTGCCAAAATTTTGATATGAATAATAAAGTTATCCACGTTTGTTAACTTCTGCCACTCCGTTTTTAACGGGCCGAAAATATGGATGTAAGTCAGAAGCATCTCAGGAGACACAACTGTGGAAACGACTTTAAAACATGATGAGAATCTGCAAGAAATATATAGATCATTTTCTAGGTGTACATTCTGGTTTCTGATAGAATCGTCTTGTTGCTTTAGGTCATGAAATCTTTCACAGTATTATCAATAATTGAGTTACATATTGATTGTTCTTAAACTCACTGAATTACTGAAGCAATAACAAGAATAAAATACCTTCATTTGTTAGAATTTCTAAGATAAGTTATAATTACAGAGTTTGAAGTAGGTGTTATCAAAAACTTGGAAATTATGATCTCTTTCTCCATAAATTATTAGTATTAACTGGTATTTTATTGAAGTACTATATGAGATATGGAGCATTCACTCATGTCATCGGTATAATCAGTTTTATGTAAGATCTACATATTTTCCATTATTGTCGAATTTAGTTTTTACTACATTCTTGTTCTGGCATTAATTGAAAATACTCCTTGATAAAGGATAATTGATCATAACTACTGAATGCTCGAAGAAATTTATAATATTGTTAATATGGTTATAAATGATCATTATGGTACTTCACACATCTTATATTTATCTCATCTTACTATTTGTTGTTTAGTTTTAGGAATACATGGAACCTTGTTTCATCGTTATATTCTGTAGTTAATATTTCCGTCAGTGGTTGAAATTTTACCCAAAAGTATTTTGATAACCTTCGTGAACTTCAAAATGTCTTGTGTTTATTGCACAGAGGTTCTTCGTGACTTTTTAGTGATCTGTTCTTAACTATTTAGTGCCTAAATGGTCTAAGATGAGAGCACATTTCTCAAGAAGGCTTTTAATTAGTATGAATATTCTGAACTCTTTGTACTGATTCCCTAACCTACCACTAAATATTGCTAGGAATTTCAACACCTAGCTAATTAAACTAAAAAACGTAGAAAGTCAGTTTCGAAACAGAACCATGAACATGTTTGGAAGTATGATCAAAATATCGTAATGGAGTTACTGAAAATCGTTCAAGTTATTTCACATTAATTTTCTTAAATTTTCCGATAGAATGAAAAATTAAAATAATTTTTTGCAGAATACCTTTCATTTTCTAATTTTCTTTTAACAGATAATAAATTGAACTGAACTGTGATCTCATATCGATAAGTGAACACAAATACAACGTCCAGTGGATTAGTTTCCATCATTTCAATCTTGATGCTTTAACTCTTTCAATATAATATATGTTCTATTCCTTGGATTTATCTTGATCTCGATTTAAATCAAAAAAATCTTAGACAAGAAAATATCCTAAGATGTGTGAAATAGAGTTGTACAGAAAAACAAAAATAGATATTCCATTACTGGCTGCTGGAATGATTTTGTGCATTTTAAGTTGTTTAATGATTTCTGTTGGAATAGCTAGAGTACGTGAAGATGTTTGGATAGCAGGAATTCTTGTAGCTATTGTAGGTTTACCGCTATTCTTGTTTTTCTTGGTAGTTTTTTGTGTCATCAGAACAAACAATTATACGGAAGTGTTACCAAAGCAGTATGTACTTGGTAAAATACCACCACCAACCTTCACAAGCATACCATCAGCACTTGGATCTATTTATCACGCGTAAACTTTTTTCATGAACATAATCCTTTGTAACTCATTTGGATATTTTTTATCTTTCCCTTTTGATTGATATGATTAGATTTTGGTCTCATTTCATAACGTTATGTGTAGAACAGTTGAACTATTTCAATGAACTTTGAGTTTTTATTACTTTTTGACGATTTTCAATGGGGAACGATTGCTTTCAGTCTTACCATTTCTTAATTTTAACCTAGTTACTTGTAAATATATAAAATAGGTGGTTTTTGTAATTTCTGACTACATTTTTTTAGTTTCTGAAATTCCTAATGGTTCTTTTATAATAATTTTTGAACACTTTTCATATTGTTTGTATGGTTTATGGGCTTGTATAAATTGCGAATTCATGTCTGTTGACAAAGTAGATGACAATAAAACAAAATCCCATATCAAGTTGGTTTCGACTTAACGTCTTTTTTAATGGTATATCTTTTTAATATGTTGGTTATAATGTTAGATCGTGATTACTTACCACTTTGAAAGTTTTGGTCTGAATTTTTGGCTTATATCTTGTATTATATTGTGTCTTCTGAGGTAAGTGGTTCATTCACAAAGTTTTGATTGATGCTATGAACGAAATCGTCGGCGGTTACTCTACACAGAGTGTAAGACTAATCACACTTGCATTTATTGAATGGAATTCCACCCATAAGTTTTTCATCAAACTCGTTAGTCATCTGACTGTTTGATTTCCTGTCATTATTGCCATACTTCTAGTTATTTGCTTTTAAAGGAATTCAAGTTGAAATAAGCCACAATTTCTAAAACAAAGCGAGGTAAGAACAAATGATATCTGCAATGTCCAAATTTAAAATCAATGATAATGAATCTTACTCAGTGAATGGTCATAGAAATAGCGCTGATGCATTTATTTGACTAATCGCATTTAGTTAAAATTACCGCTAGAAGACTAAATAATCGAATCACATGCCTAACTGGACAAATGTAATTCTTCTTAGGCTAATATTAAAACATTGGTTTTTGTCTGATCAAGTCAACCAATTAGTAGACATAACGATACTTCAACAACTTATGATCATTAAACTCATGAACCAAAAGTACTGTTACTGGACCCCTATTTAGTTTGAAAATCATTGCCATAACTGTACGCCTCTACACTAAGTTTCTGCTCATCAGTCTGAAACATACTACTGAGGATTTTGTTTCATTATTTCCTAACCGCTGCTGATAAACTAGTAAATCGTTTGTTGCTTCCATAAACTGCCATTACATATTCCTATTTTGACTTGTAAACTTACGTAATCAGTGCTATAAACTGTTTGAATGACTTACCCCACTTGTTTTCTTATTACTCTTAACTTAACCTTATGCAACTTGTTTTAAATTCTTGTAGTGTCATAAGTTGTAGTCATAAGTTTTAGCCCATAATATATCTTATTCTAGTTTTTGAACATTCCATTCTATTCATTCTACTTGAGTCATATTTTGACCTTGTTAATTATTCGCTTATTAGCCTTGACTGTTTTTATATGAGCGCATATGTGTGTACACTTCATGTCCCATGACTCATCACATGTCTGTTGTTTATTTTGTCTGCCTATAAATATTGAGTAATGCCTGGCTTGAAATGGAGTTGGCTTCCCAGCCTTCTTTCCTGCGCGTCATTTTGCTCTGTCCTATTACATTCACTTTACACACAAAATATGTGTATTCAAAGGCCATTCTCGTTATTTGACTTATTTAATTCCGTTACTAGATAATGTGATTTAATTCGACGATTATATACGAGAATAGGCGATAGCAAACATTCATACAATTTAAAATAGAGTCAGATTACGGGCCACCAAATTCTCAAGTTACATTGTATGTAACTGATTAAGTTATTTGGCTAATTAAACGGACACTTCTTATCTTTAACAAAATATTACAAATTTCGCTAACATCATGTTTCAAATTACTTAGTTTATACAATATAATATGCACTAAAACTTGAAAACCAACCGTAATTTCAAATTCTGACATATTTTTGTTAAATTAAAAATTAAATATTATTGACACCCAATCATTTGATCGGTAACAATTTAGTATAAAATTATAAAATGACGATGTTAGTCTATCATGATGATGAACGCCTAACTAAAAAACTATTCCTTCATATATATAATTCTGATAGGGATATAATTTTCGGTAAGTGAATGTAATGTGCACTTCTAATCAATAGTTCATTGATGTTGTCATGAAAAAGTGCAAAATATTACATGTACTGGAAATTGTAAGATTTGGTCATTTGTTTTAGTTTTTTAGTTTTAACTTGACCTTGTCTGTATAAGTGATGTTAAACAAAAAATTTATTTTCATTTTTATCAGCTTATTTTTGTTAAATGAAATTAGTTTTGGATATATTTTGGTCTGTCGAAAAATGATAAAAAACAATAAAAGCTATCATGGATATGGTGGTTATTGCCATGACTGTCTACTCATCTGTCGTGTTTTTACAAATGATATGAAACGACCGAGATCATTTCAACCTAGAAAACGCGGTCCAAAACGTCCAGATGAAGCATTAAGAGAAAAACTTCGCAGAAATTCAATACCTAGAGGTATCTATGATAATCCGTATAACCCTGGTTTGTGGCGTCGTACGACAGCAATAACTGCACCATACACTAGTTAATACAATTATAGTAAATACAAATAAATAAAGTTATTCAGTGTATTATTTGCCATCCAATATTCCTATTTAATTTCCAGATCGTTTAATAAACGTGAACAAATGATAATTACTTTTCCATCAAATAAAATGTTGTTTTGATATCTTTTGCTTGTTTCTCACGAATTCTATTGGAAATATTCCACTATTAGGTACGTTCTGTATTGTCGTGTACTTTAGTTAATTCATTAAAGGTTAGGTACTTTTACAGCTAAAATGTTTATTTATCTGAGTATTTTTGACAGCTTCATTAGTCTGTAGTTATTTTTAAATTATAACTTGCTGTCGATTAAAACGTCATAAGAACGTATAATTATTAGGTATTTAAAACCTTCATTTATTTATATCTTTTTTCAAGTCATATGATAATTATATATCAAGATTCTCCGTTATTTTCGACTGATTGTAGTTCTAAATGAGTCGCTAGAAATAAAGCATCTTTTTAGTATTTTATATGCTAACTATGACCAAATAAATGAAAAACATTTTTGGACAAATAAATGCTAGTAAACATATCTAAAACAATCGAATTAGTGAATCTGGCCCAAGATTTGATTTACTTTGTCACAATTGCTCACATGTGTTGGATGAATTTCTCTAATTTTGTTGTCTTAGATAATTTAGTTTAAAGGTGAATTTTTTCATTGACTGACTGGTTAACAACCAAAGAGCCTGGGACAGCTGTTTTCTTCTGATTTGGGATTATTTTGTAAGTATACAACGGATCACTTTAGCGGGAGCAAATATTTTTTATTGATATCTTAACGTAAATCGTAGGAAAAACGTAATGTGACTTTTATATCTGAAAACATTTTCCACTGTGGATTAATATTTGGCGCCGTGCTGTAGTAAACTAAAATTTCAGTGGAAGTTTATTAATGATCTCACTGTGGTTAGTTTTTCACTTCCTTGATACTCTATATCTTTGAACAAAATTTATCTTAAAACTCTTTGACACTGACTTTGTCACATGTTTATCTAGGATGGGGATTTTCTTAAATGGTTGATCATCCTAAGAATTTATTCCACTGAACCAAATACTGGATAATCTATATCCACCAGAGGAGGTATGGCATAAACACTAACTGTATTCGTAATGGATTTCCTTCACGTGACAAAAAATATCCAAATTGATAATACACTAAATATTAGATTACTACGAAAGATATTCACTAACCGTGATAGATAACCATGCACTGTAAAGAGCATTTGTAATTATTCTTACTACATAACTCCAGCATTTGTTACGATATACAGTCTTGTTCATTCATGACAAGCTTTCGACCGTCATACGAATGAAACCTCACTCAATTATAGTTATGACGTTAGTGTCATCAACTTTATGTGGTAATCAACTGTGTTCGTTACAGACGACGATGAATAAACCATTAGATATAAATCCTACGCCTAATTACACGTGTTATGTTTAAGCTACTCCGTTGTGCGAATACTTGGAAAGGATTAACATAAGAGTACATACTTAGTTCCCACGGGCGTCTACCAACCAATCTAGTAAACTTAACGAAATTACTTATCACTATATCGCTTTTTTACAGCCAATAATCAAACCAGTAACATTTGTGGAACCTGACATGCTATAACCAAAACGCAGCGGATCCTCGTTTTTTCTTTTACTCTTGATCGTAAAAATCAATGGTCATATTTTAAATGAACAAAATGCATAACAGCCAAAAGCTGCTAACAAGATACTGCTCAAAAATCACGTCAAAGGTACCTACTATGTGGTGATTGTTTGTTCTATTAATAATGTACATCGCTCAGTACATTGTTAACTTCCACTTCAACTTTATTCCGGTTATTTTCCAAAGTTTTGGATAAAAAAGGCACTGTTGTATTTAATTAAATCCTGGAAACACTTTTAGCAGTATGTGGATACCCAAAATACGTAATTCTATATATCTTCAATATTGCTGCTGACCTCGTTGGTTTTGTTGGATACGGTCTAGCCGAAGGCGCTCGGTCACGCATCCGTACCAGATCACTAGTGGATAGGCCGTGCTACTCATCTCCTTCAACTGCTAGCCAGTTTAGACCAGACGGTCAAGAGCTTCTCAAATATACCTTCGAACCCCTTTAATTATGACTTCTGATTTGACTGGGCCAGTATACTTCGATTATGAAGGTGCTGCGTGCAAAGGCATCTTTAAACTCCGAATACCTGTGGCATTTTCATACTTAACCTTTTCTGAGATATTTCTGGCTTAGCTGATGAGCTTTATGTATATATGACTATCTGTCATTTATTACACTTACATGAAATTGATCTGTTTCCTCTTAAATGGTTAGTTATTGAAATGTACCTTATTCAAGTTAAATGAATATTTTTCGGTACAAATTTTCATATATTAGTTTATGGCTAAGAACTAGAGATGGTCAGTCACACGAGTAGTTTACTTCACAATGCACTTACTATAGTGGTCTGGTCATTAAATTAAAAGTTATCATCTATGTTTTTACTCCATGGAGGCTTCCTATCACGTCGTTCGTAATTTGAGAAGCCGCGCAATCAAAGTGATGGTAAGTTTGATTATTCCAAACATACAGGATTCGGCTTCTTAAAGGTACTTGAACGCATTTTTGAAGTGCTTCAAGTTATTATTGCCCATGACTGACTCCAACCTTATCGTATGATAATGTTAACGAGATATACATCGCGGCTATCCCCATATATAATCATTGACTTAATTCGCGTTAGTAAATACTGAAATAAAAGATTCCAAATACGAGAATGGTTTTTGAGTACATATATTTCATTTTCATGTCACTACAGATAAACAATAAGAGAAACGAAGCCGATAAGAGAAAACAAGCGTGCGGTACGTTTGAAGTTTGCGTTACGATAACACGGTATCTAATTTATATTGTTTCAATATCGTTGAATCCCAGTTTATAACTCATAAATAGCTTTAAAATCTATACTTAAAGCGATATGGGTCGACTATCAAAAAAACGAGCCCGGAAAAGCCCTAATACATCAGATAATAACAATTCTGTTATTACCTATTCTCCATGTTCTGCTACTCCTTTTGAAGCTGATAATGTTGGGATAGGTCTTACACCACATCTGATGCTGGATGACTCTGTCTCTAATTTAATAATGAGTTCCACATCAAGATCAAAGAGTATCGATAATATTAAGAGTGAATTAAACACTGTCTGTAAAAAACTAAACGACATGCGTTCTAAAATTGAGTCACTTACTAGCTCTTTATCAAAGCATGATGATTTGAAACAAAAAATAAAGACATTATCACCCCTTAAGCTGCTCTTGTCAAAAGATATCGTTCCTGCGGAACTTGATGACATCATAAAAGCAGAATCTGTTATCGACTTTATCGCTAATGAAGTTATCAGGCGAATAATATCTCGTAATAACGTGATTGTCTATAGTATACCTGACAAAATCCCCATTAAAACTGTAAGGAATTCGATATTAAAAGCATCTAACCTTCACGATAGTCCATGTCAATGCATTCGACTTAATAAAAAGCACCAGAAATACTCGTGCTCAGTCTTGTTCAGATTCGACTCTCATATATTAGCTGAACGGTTAAAAGAATCCGAGCAGCTAATCTGTGCGCTTACGAAATTTAGAAATACTCGTATAGTCTCAGACAAGACCACCAATCAAAGGCTTACCCAAAAACGTACCTTGAACGAAAATAAAGGTGCTGAGATCACAACAAACCACGATGCATCAGCTGCTGGATCCACTGATGCAGCTACCTTATCTCGTGTTATCGAGTACTCTGATTTACCAACGAAGAGTGCTAATTTGCCTGTTATACCTGTAGTGACATCTAATACCCAATGTAGGTCTAACGACGACACAAATCCGATATTTTCCAGTTTACCATTAGAAGCCCATAAGCAAATACCTAGTTCTAATGCGACAGCTCTTAAAACACTGTCAAGATTAAAGTGTCTATGCCACTTAAGAATAACTTATGTACACAACCTTCTGGTTCTAAACCCACTAACAAAAATATTACGACGGCCCTACCAAATAAAAATAAGGACATACTTCCCGACACCATGCTTTAACCTACGCATTGTAGGGGAGTTTATAAGGGCACAGTTGATTCAAATGTTTCACAAGATGGTCACTATAATCATTGTGTAAGCAGGCCTAATATTAGACAGACCGCAGTGAGCCAACGTGCCCCACGGTTACTCTCAAACGTTTTAAATAATAAACCTTTGAGACATAACTTTTCTCCAGACTTTCCCTTTGGGCAAGATGGACTACTAGGTTACTCAGCATCAACTCAACCCCAACTAGCAGGTGTCCGCCTAGTCATGTTCAAAAAATTAATCCACTCTATCAAAATAATTATATTTTACCTTCAGAAATCCTTGGTCTCACTAGCAACACAGTTTGTTCAAGCGGTAGCTCATATGATCAGTCAAACATAACAAACCACAGTCTATTCAAATCTAAAATACAGAACATCGCTAGGAAAGCTCTCGGTTTTTGCACTCCATACTCCCTTTTTAAACTTATTACTTATCAATGCACGTTAACTCCTGAACAAAATTTGATCCTTGAGACCATTAGCTTTTCTAACCAAACCTTCTTTTATACTTATCACTGAAACATGGTGCTCTCAAGCAGTATCTGATTCGAAATTAAATATCCAGAACTATCGACTCTATCGCTGTGACAGAGAAACTAAGCGATGAGGTGGTTGTATTATATATGCTTTGGATACCCTAACAACTAATGAAGTTGAAGATGGTGTCTTGAATAGTTTCTACAATCAGTCTGGATATCAGTCACCACCCTGAATCATAGTTTACTCCTTGGATGTATATACGGAGCTCATGATAGTTCGAATAATGGGAATGATCTTATTATCATTGCATTCATACATGCATCTGCTCTAAACTTTAATGCTAAGGTTATCACTGGAGATTTCAATTATCCTGGGATTTACTGGGGT